GTTACCACCTGTGACAACTTAAGATCTCAGAGAAATACAGGAGGAAAGGGGCGGCACAAGCCTTCATCGCTAAAAAATGGCCAACGCTTTTATATCAAGCTACATCAGGGTTTGTAGCCTAACTGTGTCACTGTGTCGTCTCCACCTGGATGTAAACTCCAGCTACACCAGCTCTGCTGTGACGACTGAAACATCCAAGGATTCAAGTCTGCATCATCCTTTCTAATCCAAATGGGATTTACGTTGACACACTGCATTGTTAGGGAAGGCGGATCTAGGCGAGGTTATCTGAAGACACTCGCAGTCCAGCGATTAGAGAAGATTAGAGAAGTGGAGCTGAGGGGGAGGAGCTGCCATCTGTATGGAAAGATACTTGAGTGGAAACAATGGCTAACTTACTGATGACCTAATCTCAGTCCCATGACAGAGAGCTGTGATTCAGCTTTGTAACGTGAAGGTCAAAGGGCGTCACATGATGCCGCGTGGGTACAGACCTTTATGAGTCAGTGCGTTTAAGGCTCGGCACACTGCCTGCAGTGATACTGGTGTTGTGCTGGTTATCTATCACTAAAATTAGTCTTTTTATGAGGCTTGCGTAACGCAAACTTCCTTCACTTGTGCATTTCAGCATTTTATCTTCCTGTCTGCACATTAAGAACACTACAGCCTGTCAGCACTCAGCTAATTACCCTGAACATGCTTTTAGCAGGTTTACAATACACGTATTATAAAATGTACAGCAGCGAATAAATGCGAATAAACAGATCTGAAAATAAGTTGACTATAGAATGAGATGGAAATAGTAAAATAATACCAGTTTACCTCAGACGCACAGCTACTCACATGTAGTCCCAACTCTGCCAACAAGAGCTCAACTGACCCTGAAATATGGACGAAATCCTGAGCTTCAGCTCCTCAACCGAACCATGAAATCCTCCCCGCTCATGCCTTCTCCTGAGAATTGGACCAACCCAGAATCTCCATGTCTTCCTTTTCTTGTGAGGAAACATCGGCACCCGCTCATCGTCGCTTCATGTCGACTTAATTTGTTTTAGGACAAGGTGTGCGTATATGTTACATCACAGGTTGCCATCCAAAAGGTTTAGAGGACTGCGAGGGAAGGTAACACAAGAACTACATCCTTCAAAGCAATCATCAAAGCAGCACCTCTTTAAGCCATTGTGACCTTTGTGTTGGGTTGCAGTGATTTTAGGCAGTTTACTCCATAAACCATCATCTATGATTCATTTGGGGTCAATAACGATAACCTGCATCACTGCTGGCCGGCTGACGCCACATAAGCCAACAAAGACATTCAGAACAGTTTATTGTAACATTGTAACATCTAAAGACTTTTTTGAATGAACCTTTATCACGTTAACACGAACGCCTGCAGTCGTAGATGTAACTCTAGCTACTTAAATACCTCATCTCCTTTTTGTGTTTTGCATGTTTTGCATGTTGTGTTTGCAGTGTTAAGGTGCAGTATCACCAACTATGAGGTTAGTGTCAATCAGACATTTTTCATATGTGTACCACTAACATGACATCAGTGCTTTAGTTTTTTAATTTCTCGCTAAATTAAAATTGAAATAAAACTTTTTTGTTGTCTGTTTTGCTTTTTAACCTTTGATCTAGACGGCTGTTCTGTTTTCTGTTTTGAAGATATACACGATCGACCTGGGCGGCTGTGGTGGCTGAGCAGAAAGGCCAAAGTATCCTGATGATTTTCTCTAAATGCGTTCACCAAAGAGTGCACTTTGAGTTCTCGAGTTAAAAACTGCTGTAAACGAACCAAAACATTTACCTTTGCTGGAGAATAATGACACTAAATGACCTTTGTGGTGCACAGAGGCAGCAAATTCAGCTGCAATGTCATAAAATAACAATTATTGTTAAAAAATGCACAAATCATGTTAATTACATTTGTATCATTAAT